CCGGCGCAGGCGGGGAGGCCGAGCGAGCGGGAGAGGCTGCGCGGCTTCTTCAACCACCACCCCGGTCCCCGCCCCGCGCCCCGGTACTCGCACGCCGGCTCCACCGGGGCTCGGGCTCCGGCTCGCAGGCAGGCGAGCGGCCACGCGCCCAGACCCGCCGTCAGGATGGCCGAGCGGTCTAAGGCGCTGCGTTCAGGTCGCAGTCTCCCCTGGAGGCGTGGGTTCGAATCCCACTCCTGACAAGCCCACCTTTTGACGCGCACACGCACGCGCGCGCCCCATCGCCCCCGTTCCACCGGACCCTTGACGCACCTGCCTCTCCAGCTGCCTGCCCGGCCCCTTCTCGGGCGGGCACCCTCACTCTTCCCGCCCACCCGCTGCCCTCGCACAAGCTCAGATACCGCCGTCGCGGGCCCAAACCCGCCACCCTGGGCCCGCTGGCCGTGGTGGCACAGGCGCATTCTCAGCACAGCGGGTTCACGCGCTCCTCTGACCGCACCTTTCACCCGGGACCGACCGCCGCGTTTTCCGGACTCGCCCACCTCCACCCACGCGCACTGCCCAGACCTCTGCCCAGGGGCGTGGAACCTCGGCCGGGCGGTGGGGTGCTGGAGCCGGGTGGGGGGCACCACTCGCTCCGGCAGCACACCCCGACCCCGCCACCCCGCACCCTCCACGCCACCCTCCCGGCCCCTGCACCCAGCCCTCGGCCCCCGACTGCCCATCCCCTTCTCTCCACGCCCTGCCCTGCCCGGGACGCCTTCCCCGTCCCCGTCTGGCTGGGCTGTGCTCCCCAGCCCGCTTCTCCTGAGTGCTTCGTCCTGCCCACACCTGTCCCGCGCCTCACACGCAGCAGCTGAGACCCTAGCTGGCCAGGGACGCGGGGAGCGTGGCACCGACCACGGAAGTCCCGGCCCGGCCCGGCCCAGCCCAGCCATGGCCCCGGAAAGATGGTTCCCGTGTCGGTCCCTACCTGGCAAGCGCCACCGCCACTGGATGCGCCCGCCTGCCCCCCCAACCCTCCACATACCCCGCTCGCCCGGGAGCCGCGTCGCCCTCGGCGCCACAGCGCGTCCGCCACGGGGAGCAGCTGCTCCCTGGGCCGTTCCAACAGCACCCGTGCCGCCGGCGAAACCCGTCCCCCCTTCTGCGCCCCTTGGGGACTGGACAGTGGCTTAAGGCCACACCGGCTCTCAGCCACGCCTGGCGGGGGTCTCCCATCGTGCTCGGGCGTCCTGCTCGGGCCTCGGGCGCGGGCCTCGTTTGGTCCGGCTCCCGGCTTCCTCCGGCCACCCGGGCGGGCAGTCCGTGCGGCGGCGCGGGCAGAGTGGGACGCGTCCTGCCTCGCTCCCCCGGGGGTGGGGGGCGCGCGCAGCAGCAGCAGCAGCAGCAGCAGGAGAAGGGGGAGGAGAAGGGGGAGGGGGAGGAGGGAACCTCGACGAGCCATGCAGCCTGTCCTTCTGGTCACCTGTGGGGTCCTTTGCCTCATCGTGCCCTCGGCACAACCTCCGGTAGGACAGGTGTCCGGGACGGGCGGCCAGCAGGGTTGGGCGGCGGCGGCGGAGGCTGGGCGCCCCAGTGACAGCCCCCCTCCCGTGGGAGCTGCCATCGCCGGCGCATGGGTGGTTCAGTGGTAGAATTCTCGCCTGCCACGCGGGAGGCCCGGGTTCGATTCCCGGCCCATGCAGCGTCGAGTCCCCTTTTGGTCCTCCGGCCCCAAAGCCCAAGCCGCCCTGGCTTCTGCCTCCTTGTCCTCAAGGTGCCCGCGCCTGCCTCGCACCAGCTCCGCTTCGCTCAGCTCCGCCTCAGCCGGTCTGGGCGCGCGCCACTCACCGCTGCTCCTCCTTCCCAGCGCCGCGCTCTTCCCGCCCCGCTGGCCCAGGGCACTGGGACCCTGGCTCCTTGGCCCCCTCGGTCCCCACCCCGCGCCCTCCTCAACCGTCCCCCTCATCCGCGGCACCTTCCCTCTGGTTCCTAGTCGCTCTCTCTTCCTGCCCTTCCACCTGTGCGCTCCTTCCCACCTCGCTTCCACGCCTACCCACGGGTACCTGGCGACAGCCCCCGTTTGCCGCCCGCCTCCCCCCCTCCCGTTTCCTCACTGCCCAGACTAGGTCCTCAGCACGAGCCCCAAGCTGCCCGGGCGTCTTCTCACCGTCACTCACGCCCACGCTCGACCTCTCATTGAAGCGCACACCGGGACCACGCGAAGAGAATTCCAAGCACACCCGCGCGCTCTACTCCCTCACCTACCCTGTTCCTTCTCATCCGTCCCCCGACCGACTCCGGTGCCCCAACCGCACGTCCCTCGACGGGCACGCCCGCGCTCGCCCGCCCACACGCACACACAGGACGTCGCCCGGGCACTCTCAGCAGCTGGGCACCCGGATTCGCCTCTTGCTTCTGTCTCTTGGCTAGAGCCCCACCGCACGCCTCGCTGCGGGGGCGGGGGCGGGGGGGGGGAGCCCACGAGGGCCGAGTCCCTGTCTCTCCTCCGCTGGCCTTCCCTCACGCCTTGGGGACCTGGCCGAGAGCGCGCTCTCCAGTAGTCCAGTAGTGGGCTGCTCCGCTTCCCACCCGGCGCCCCAGCCGCCCTCGTCAGTCTCCTGGCCTGGAAGCGGGCCACCCCAACCTCCCCAGCCTCGGGGGCAGGGGCCCTCTGCACAGAACTCGCTTCCATCTCCCTGGAACCAGAGGCCCCCTCGCCACCACCCCTAGAGGCTACCCAGACCCGCTCCACATCTGCCCCGACCCCAGGTCCCACCCCTGCCGAGGGCGCCCCGGGCGCCCACAAGAACTGGCTGACTGACGGCAGCGCTCCGGGTCCTTGGTCCTTGCCCGGTTGCCCGAAAGTCCCAGACCGTGCTCTGCCCCCCCCCCCCCCCCCCCCCCCCCCCACGCCTTCTCCCACCTCGCAGCACGTGGCGTCAACCAGCCAGCCCTAGGGGCCTGGGCTGCGCTGCTCTCTACCGGACACCACACCTTCGCCCTTCCCCCTTCCCCCTTCGCCACCGCCCCGGCCACGCCCACCGCCCACCAGCCTCTCAGGCCCAAGGAAACCTCCCTAGGTGGTGGCTGCCGGAGACCCCTGGAGTCAGGTTCCAGTACGCACCTGCCTGCCCACTATACGGCGCGGGCCCGAGGAAAAAATTCACTAAGAGACAGAACTAGGACAGAAGGAGGGGTGCCGGGACGACCAGCGCCGCTGTAACCCACTCGGGCGCTGGACAGGCCCGGGCACTGACTTGCATTGGCAGTCAACTGGGGTCAAGGCCACGACCTGTGGTGTCTGTGGAAATTAACGTAAACGAGGCTCAGAAAGGACAAGACAAAGCCTGGCACCTCTTCCTCCCGGCGGGATCCGCGCGTTCGAATCCCCCCACGAGGGCGCGCTGGATGGTTGTACGCCAGTTGGTTGCGGGTGCGGGTGCGGGTGCGGTGGGTCGGTGTCCGGGACGCCTGGTCCTGGGTGCCTGCGTTGGGTGTGGGCGGCAATGGGTGGGGGCGGCAGCAGGTGCCCGAGGCCTGGGGCGAGCGGGGTCCGGGGTCGGGGCTGAGCGGTGGAGAGGGGGCGCGTCTCGGGCGCCGGGCGCCGTCGTCCTCGTTAGTATAGTGGTGAGTATCCCCGCCTGTCACGCGGGAGACCGGGGTTCGATTCCCCGACGGGGAGGCAGCCGCCCTTTTTGCCCGCCGCCGGAACGACCCGGCGGGGAGTCGCCCAGGGCCCCGCCACTTCCCGCACGGCCTCCCCGCCCCCCCTCCACTCGCGCGCGCGCACACACACACACCCGCCCTCTCGCTGCCTCCTGGCCGGGCTTTCACTAGGTCTCCTCGGACCAGGGGCGGGGCCGGCCCGCAGCGGGAGTGACGAGGGACTCCCTGGTGACGCGCGGGCAGGGCTCGGGAGCGGCTAGGCCGCGAGAGCGGCCGCCCGCGGAGGTCAGCGAGCGGGCGGAGCGAAGCAGCTTCGCGGCGCGTCGAGGGTGCGGGTGCGCGGCGTTGGTGGTATAGTGGTGAGCATAGCTGCCTTCCAAGCAGTTGACCCGGGTTCGATTCCCGGCCAACGCAGCGGGCCGACGTTTTGCCG